GCTGGCAGGATCTACACCCAGGCCGTGCTCACGAGGTTCACTGCGAAGTCCGAGGTCACCCAGTGCTCCTGCTCAACTGCTATCATGTTCCGGTACTGGCGGGCGACTTCAACTCGTCCCTAAAACCTAATCCCCCCTATGTAGGGGGAGTGGTACCGGCAGGGTCTTCTAAGCACAAACCGGTTCAGAAGCAGTTTCAGAAGTTTCTCCAGCGAAACTCTCTAGTTGCGCTTAACACATGGCAAGGGCGTAAGGCAAACACCTTCACCTCGCCACAGGGCAGCTCTCAGATAGATTTTATCTTGACATCCAAATTCTATGCTGCTCAGCTAGCCCGCAAAGTGTGTGTCCTCAAGGACTTTAAGCTGGGAGCATGGCGTAAAGGCGGCAAACACACGCCACTCCGGACGGCAGTACCGCTCAAGAAGGTCTGGAGACAACCGTTCTCGACCAAAACTCAGCCAGTAGTCCCTTCTAAACAAAAGTCCCTACTGGCTCAACATGTTAGACAAAATACTCCTCTGGCTAAAACCCTGCGAGACCAAGTTGCACAGGACGTTGCCAAACTCCGAGCGCAGAAGAATGGAGAGCCTCTTCACCCTGATGAGGTCAACGAGCTTCTTCTCGAACATGCCAAGACCTTCCAACCGAGGGACCCAGGAGCAGGCACCTCAGACGCGGCTCCGACAGCACAACCTCTGTGGCGGCTTCATAACAATCGGCAGACTGCACTAAGGAACCTAAGACGTGAGGATGACGTCATAAATAAGATGGCCCGCGCCGAGCACCTCAAACAGGCTCAGCGCTCACTAGACGAGGCAGCCAAGACACATGCCCTCCAGATAAAAAATCAGGCCCGAGCAAGGACTCATCGCACTCTGACAGAGATTTCTGAGACGGTCAAACGAGATCCACATGCGGCATATCGCTCTTTAAAACATGTAGCTCCCTGGTCTCCTGCACCTAGAGTCTGCCTCAGATCGCCATGCGGCCGTATCCTAACTGAGTCCGAGGGGCTAGCCGAGCTAAAGAGACATAGTCTTTCCATCTTCTCCTCGCATCCCCCCCTAGCCAGTGGGGTAGGCCAAGCCTTGCCCAAGCTGGACAAAAGCAGTCTGGCAAAAGGCATAGCCTCTATAAAGCCGGAAAAGGCAGTACCGCAAGGATCTGCCCCAGCATCCATGTACCGCCTTTGTGCCTCAACAGTGGCCGATAATTACTGTGACTATCTTGAAGCGGTGCCTCTGTCTCCCGCTCTGACCCATCCGGCGTGCGAGGTCACCTCCTGCCAGGGGAAGAGCGAACCTCGGCATAACACAGCACCACTGAATCAAGCCGAGCCACCCTCGCTGCCTACAACGGCCAAATCAGCAGACCTCAGCTTCATACCCAAGCCCTCTAAACCTGCCTCTAAGCCGGAGAACTTGCGACCGCTAGGCATCATTAGGCCAGATGGCAAAGGCATAGCCTCTGAGGCTAGGAGACGGCTTGACCCCCTTTTTAAGAAGGCCCACTTTGCCTCCCCTCAATTTGCCTATATTCCAGGCCGCGGTATCGCCGACGCCCAACTCCGGGTGATTGGCCACGCAAGGCGTGTCCGAGCCATGCTTCGATCCCGAGCACCGGACAGGTTCTGCACTCCCAAGCGCAAGAAGGGTAAGCCAGATCTGATTGGAGGCTTCACCTTCTCACTAGACCTCTCTCAAGCTTTTGACAAAACAAGTAGAGAGGCTCTCTTGCGCTCACTAATAACTTACGGGGCCTCACCCGCAGACGTTGAGCTGGTTGCGTCCCTTCATAGGGAAGCCCAGTATAACTTGCGCTATGGAAGAAGCCAGGACACAGTCACCTCAACAAGAGGTATAAAGCAAGGCTGCAAACTAGCCCCCTCTCTCTTCTTTCTGGTCATCACGGAGGCGTTCCGGCTTATGGCTACCCACATAGGGTTCCCTCCCATACAGCAGTTCCTCACAGGTTTTGCGGATGACCTCGTCATTCACCGTGACATCCACAACTGGTCCGATCTCTACGCGGCTCATGACATGGTCAGATTGTTACTGCATTACCTGCAAGAAGCCGGACTAGAAGTAAATTATGCCAAGTGCAACATCATGGTCAAACTAGCAGGTCGCCACGCACAGCATGCCAAGAAGCTCTTCAAGTCACAGGAGCTCCGCTCAGGCCGGAAGGTTACGGTCTGGAACATAGATGCCCCAGAGCAACCAAGACGGCCAATTCTGCTCTCGACTTCCTCTGTTCTTCCCCCTCTCCCCTCCCTTCCTTCCTTCGAGCTGGTAGACTCCTTCAAGTATCTAGGGGTTATGATCAGCTACTCAAACCCGGAAGATCTTACTTATTCCTTAAGACAAGAGAGAGCGGCGAAGAAAAAACAGACTGTGCGCAAATTCATTCACAATAAGCGCAGGACAAAAACCGCATCTAGGCTGCTTGTCTGGAGAGCCACCGTCTGGTCTACGGCCACTTTTGGACTTGAATCCGTCGGTCTCTCAGGAAGGCGGGCACGGGCACTCCATTCATGGCATGCCAGACAGGTGCGAGCTGTAACACACAACCCTGTGCATAAAACTCGTGAAACTACAGCAGCGCTCTTTGCACGTCTCAAGCTCGTCTCTCCCATTCAGCAGCTTCATGATCGCTCAGCCCAGCGCCTAGACTCCCTTCGCAAGCGCCGGCATGCAGCACCAGCGAGTGAGGTCACCTCCTGCTCAACATCCACGCCGGCCAACACGAGTTCTTCGCTCCTCACCCAGTCCGGCGCCTGGCCAAGTGAGGATATCCTAACCATTCCCTCCACCCTGCAAACGGCGGAGGAAATTGTAGCCTCTTACAGCAAACTGCTCAAGATCTACAACAACACGTCGAGCGCAGAGTCTGCCGACAGGCTGGCTTCAAGCTTTCCAGACCTGAGGCGGCCACTCAGGCTGACGAAGCTCCTCCCAAGGCGAGTGAGGTCTCCTCCAGCCAGGAGCTCGTGCCCTCGTCAGACTGCCGTGCTACTGCCGCACCCTCGGTCCAACTTACCTTGCAGATAGACACAGTGCCGCTCATCTCGCGCATGCGCACCGAACTGCTGCAACAGGCCGGAACCCAGACCTTCCTCGAGCAACTCACCAGGACCTGTCTGCTCTGCGACTCGTGGATAGCCTCCACGACAAAAATAGCCTTCCACCTCACAAAGAAACACGGGGCAGAATGGGACTCTTATAAGGCTTCTGCGGGGAATAACACCTCTAAGATGTATGTGCTGACCCGCCTGTCCCCCTGTCCTGCCTGTGGAGTGAAAGTGGAGAGCGCCCCCCGACACACGAAGCAGTGCCCGGTCATTCAGCAATTACAGCTCTTCTTCTTTCTGCACCCTGACGCCCCTCTTTCCAGAATGCACTCGTCCCTCCAACACACTCAACTCTCACATCTCTCGCCCCCCACCTCTGGGGCTGGCGCATCTCCTTCTGCGGTCCCTACCCCCAGGCCGAACACGACAACATCACACCAACACGAATCTCCCACACAGGCTACCCCCCAACCAACGACGTTCCAACAGCGGACCCTGCAGGCTCCCAATCCCAGGTCCAAGCAAAGCCAGCTTCAGAGATGGTTTCGCCCAGGGAGTGCCTCCCAGGCTGCGCAGCCGGGCGCAGGACCTCCTCAGCCAGCGCCGACAGACCTGGATGCCTCTCCTCCGCCACCGCCTCCTGCAGCTCAGCCTATGCCACAGCTGATTAATCCTCATAACTTGTGCTACGCCATTTCAGTCTTGCAGATGATTAGCGCTCTGAGGGAAGAACCCTCAGTGGACTGGTCGAACCTTCAGCCTCTCCAGAGGGAACTTCGAGCAAGGGCCTCGCACCCAGTCTCTATTCTTGCACTAGAATCGCTCCCGCATTGTCATCCTGACTGGAGGCTTGCTAATAGGCAAAGCGATGCACTCGAGTACTTGACGTTTTTGTTGGCTAATCACCATGGCTGCTTACAAGGCACCCCCTGGAAGAGAGTCTATGATGCTGACATACCCGACTCAACCGGCTTCTCCCCCCTTCTACTAACCTTCCCGGAAGGCACAGACCCGACCAGGCTGTCCCAGCCTGACTCCCAGGCAGCGCCCATCTTAGCCTATTCACTGTCCTTTTTTGTGCACGAGTGGCACTCTCCACATGACTCGAAGGCGGCACTGCTGTATACACCTCCTTATATCTTTGTGTCTCTGCCAAGGTTCACAAATGCCGGAGAGAAGCAACACTGGAGACTCACGGGCGTGCAGGACGAAATACAGCTGCCTGCATGGACCGGGCCTCACTCCCAATCCTTTGTTCGCTACAGATCCGTCTCGGGACTCTTTCACATAGGGCAGGAAGCCACCTCAGGTCATTACAGATCCTTCACCTTGCTTCCTTCTCTGCAGGTAGGTGATGACTCCAGCCCAGGCTTCTCACCTACGAGCGAGGAACGTGCACAGATCGGGTCAGGAGCTTACCTTTTGCTCCTCCAACGCTTAAGTTAAGTCCCATTCACCTTCGTGTGAGGTCCCCTCCTGAAGGTGAGCGGGCAGCGTTTTACTTGTGCTACCATGCGTGTCCTCCCTAAGCGCTATGGAGCAAGCCCAGCAGGAGCTGCTGAACAACCCCGCACTATGCCAAGTGCTCTTTAAGAACCTCCCCCATCTTGCCGCTTCATCCATGGCTGCCCGGGCATTTGGCCCTGACGAACGTTCAACGTCCAGAGAACTGGTCCCTGCTCACGACAGGGACAGGCCTCCCAAACAGCGCCGTCAGCAGAAGGATCTGGAGCAGGACGAGGAAATGCCGCCGACTCGATTGCCCTCACCATCCAGGAGGCCCAAGAGGACTGGTCGCCGTAATGGCTCCAGACCAAGGGCCTCGCGCAACGGTCCGCAGCAATCAAAGCAGGAGGTCAAACCAACCGCTGACCTCTTGGCTAGCATCATCTTGGCCCTGCTGAATCACGAGGATGAATTGACAGCTTTGCGATACCATCATGGATGGATCTTCTACGCCACGGTGCACCAGGCGAACAGTGTGGTTCCCTCCATGGCACGGATCCAGCAACAGTGGAAATCGGACCAGCCCCAGGACTCCCCTGGCACGCCTGTTCGCCGCGCCCTGTTCATCGGTCTCCTTCACGAGCTGCACACTCGGGCCCAGGGCTTCGATCACGTCGCCTATGACAGCACGAACCAGGACAAGGAATCAGCACTTATCTCTCTACCAGGAGCACTTGCCTCCCGAGGTCGACACCACACGGACGAGAACCCTGCCTTCTACTGGAACTACATGAGATGGGACGCCAAACAGCGGAAGGTAGTCATCGATGCCCAACGCCCTCCTCTCTCGCCCAAGGTTGTCTCCACCCACCTGGCGGCTATGCTCAAGCTAGATCAAGAACAGCTCACCAAGTTCAGGCCGTCCAGACCGCTGCGAACCAACCTGACGGAAGAAAGGCCGGTCATAGCCTTCCTCCTGGAACTGGCCCTGACTATCGGAGACGACCACGAGGCAATGCACGCCTTTCGACTTCTAGCGAACAACTCAATCTGGAACCTAGTTGGGGTCACCATGCGCAGGGAGGGCCTAAGACGGTCTCCACAGATGCAGACCCTCCGCGATCAGCTAGAAGCGCTGCGCACAGGAGGCAACGAGGGCTAAAGTTTTCCAGGACATCCGAGTCGAGGTCCCCTCCTGAGCTGTCCAAGGCCCCCT